TTGAAATAAGATTCGACTATGAATACCGCCCTAAATCTAGTGAAAATATGTAGTGGTAGCGGCCATTTTTTGACATACACCAGAAATTCTATCGAACGCAAACCATGTTATCCCAATGATGACATGTTATCGAGTTTAGTATATCATCTGGGGCTGTAATACATAAGAAATGGACCAATCGCAATTGACTATTCTTGTAATAATCGATTGCAATTGGTCAATTTCTTATGGATTACAGCATAAGTTAACGGTTAAGGCCATCATAAATCGATCTTAGGGCCTGTTTCACCAACTCCGGTTAAACTTACCGACGGTTCAAAGTAGCAGAATAGCTAACTGAAAATTCTAATAAATAAAAATGACAAAGTACTCATGTCCATCAGTTGGAATTCTAATACCGTCAGTCAAATTTGACCGTAACCGGAGTTGGTGAAACAGGTCCTTAAAAGTCTTGAAAGCTTTAAAGGCCGATTTATGATGGCCGTAACTGTAAACTTATGCTGTAATCCATAAGAAATGGACCAATTATAGTTGACTATTCTTGTAATAATCGACTACAATTGGTCAATTTCTTATGAATTACAGTATATGTTAACGGTTTCGGCGATCACAAATCGGCCTTAAAATGTAAGCAGTAAGGAAACTGACCAATCATAAACGACTATTCTTCTTACAGTCGAAAAATAATTAACTGCGACTAGTCAATTTGCTTAATATACTTTCATTATTTATAAGTTTAAACTAAATTTAAAGACTATTTATGAAATAAAAAAATACACACACACATATATACAGGGTGTCCCGTGTAAGACGCGCCAAAAATAAAATATAAATAGAACAGATAAAAGTAAACAAATATTGTAGAAGTCATTTTTCAAACAACCACGTAAAATTTCGACATATTTGTTATAACACGTATAAAGAGAGTACTGTTCGAAAAGAGGAAAATTACTGAAAGATTCCCGAATACTTTTAGAACGAATAACACACTTAGTTTATTTTTTAAAAAACACTAAAATGTGAGAAAGCAGCGATCAGCTGCTAGAATGACTGTAAATATCAGGCATGTCAAACATGAAGAAGGCAGCGGATAGCCGCAAGAGTCGCAGGAGACAGTGAACGCCGACGATTGGATAGGGCGGCGGATAGCCGCAGGAAGCGCAGGATGCAGGAACGCCGATGTAGGAGAGGGTGGCGGATAGCCGCAGGAGGCGCAGGATGCAGGAACGCCGATGTCGGAGAGGGCGGTGGATAGCCGCAGGAGGCGCAGGATGCAGGAACGCCGACGTTGGAGAGGGCGGCGGATAGCCGCAGGAGGCGCAGGATGCAGGAACGCCGACGTCGGAGAGAGCGGTGGATAGCCGCAGGAGAAAACCTGTGAATGTATCTCTCTTTTCCCCACTCGAGGTGAATGCCAGGACTTTCACTTTTACGGAAAATCTCAATATCGATTAGCAAAACGTGATAACGAATGAGATGCACCTTTGCAATAGCTAAAGAGAAACTGAAACTCAGATCGTACCCGGAGGAGAGAGAAACAATAAAACTCCGGGACGATCGCCCCTTGACAACGTAACAAACTCTCGCAGTTCCTCGGTTACGAGGACTCGCTACGCCGAGGAGATAGCTGACTATCAGCTTCTAGAATATTCAGGCTTATTGCTAAGCCGGAATCTCGACATTTCTGCTACATTCCGCCCGCCTTCGGGAAGGAATTTCCCGAACAGTTATCCTCTGAATTTCCCAAAGGTAGCACGATCAGCTTGGCAACTGGTCGTTTAAAGGTGGAAGTCGTTGTACGGATGGTCACCACTCGCGTCAGCCCGTCTAGTCCTGGGTGCAGCTGAAGTACTCGTGCCAAAGGCCACTTAGATGGAGGGTATCGTTCATCAGTGATCAGGACCAAAGATCCTTCCTTGATATCGTTGCTTGGATGATGCCATTTGGATATAGCCTGGTAACTCTGCAAACACTCCGCATACCATCTCGACCAGAAGTGCTCCACCTTTTGCCGCAACAATTGCCATCTGGAGAGACGTGACATAGTCTGATCCGTCAGATCTGCTTCTGGGATGGTAGGAAGGGCTTCACCTATAAGAAAATGACCTGGAGTGAGAGCCGAACAATTTTCTACGTCATCCGATATAGGGCATAATGGTCGAGAGTTTAGAATCGCCTCGATCTGAATAAGGATTGTGGCAAGCTCTTCATAAGTTAGCACTGCATCGCCAATGGTGCGGAGAAGATGAAATTTTGTTGACTTCACCGCAGCCTCCCACTTTCCCCCAAAATGGGGGGTTGACGGAGGATTAAATACCCATTTCGTCCCATCGCGGGCTAGAATAGAGGCTAGCTCCTGTATCTCTCTGGAAGCAGAATTAAAGCGTCGATGAAGATCTGCATCCGCACCAACAAAATTTGGGGTGTGTATCAGTTGGACACGGGGCAATTGGACACAGTCCAATCACAAGTCGCTGTTCCAAGGGACCCTACAAATGTCTCTAATCACACGGTGCTGTGATTGGCTGTGTCCAAATGCACCGTGTCCAAGTGCACCGCTCCCCAAATTTTGTTGCGCAGTCGCTATGTAGCGTCGCACAGATGCCGCGTCGGCCGGTGAATCGTTTGTAAGCTGCTATGAAGGCCTCCGTTGTGTAGGCTGTTACCAATTCCAAATGCACGGCAGATGTTGAGAAGCAGACGAAAATTGCCAGACAGCCCTTGTAACTTTTTGTCGCCCCTCTCGCCAGGTTTTAATAGAGATTGGGCCTGCATAATCGATTCCGGAATGCAGAAACGGTCGTGAAGGCGATATTCTAGGAGTCGGCAGCTGACCCATAAGCTGCTGTGCTCTTCGTCCTCTGTATCGTGCGCAACGAGCGCATCGCAGAATGTACGATTGTACTGGAGCTCGTCCGCCTAGAATCCAGCAAGTTCGACGAATATATGCAAGAGTCACCTGCGTTCCTCCGTGCAAAGTATGAGCGACGTTGATGAGCGTCTGCAACAATAAGCGTAGTTAACGGAGACGATCTAGAAAGTGTCCAAGGATGTTCGCGTCCGGGTCTAATTGGGCATTGTGCAGACGTCCGCCCACTCGAAGCAATCCTTGCACATCAATGAAGGGAGTGAGGCAAGTTAAAGGATTCGATCTTGCTAGTTGAGTTCCTTGAGTGATGGCCCTGATGTCCGAAGCGAACCAGGCTTGCTGAACCACTTGTATCCAGAAGACCAGATTTTTCTGAATTTCCATGGGGGTGAGTGGATGATAGAAAGAAAAATCCTTGTCGCGACGACAGCGGGAAGCTACTCGGCGACAAAGAACCGTAACTCTCATTCGATTAAGAGAGGAGTAGCGATCTAGAAGTTTCCAGTAAATAGGCTTGGAGACGAGATTCACAGAAAAAGCTTGTTTCGAACGGCCCTGGGGTGGAGAGCGGCCGGTTCGTTGTGCGAGATGCGGATAGGTGTCCGTTCGCCGCGTGGAGACCGCGGACTTCGTCGCTGGCAGTCCGCTATCCAGCGGCCCCGTGAGATGACGTGGGGGGCAAGTGATTCGCGACGTTCTTCGGAGACGGGAGTCTGCGGCTCCGTGTTTTGGTAGGTCGCCGACTCGAATAAAGCGAGCCAGGTCAATCGAAGCGGCGGCCCTGCGGTGATGCACCGTTTCCCAGCGCCTCCGCGCTAGTACCAGTCCCCCTTGTCGGAGGAGTAATGAGAATCGTAACGTCGCGCGGACGACGTAGACTTCGGCGCGAGGGTAATTCGCGCGTGTAGTCGCGTATGCGGCGAGTATGGCTTCAGTAGCGGTGAAGAAACGAACGTGGTTCGCGTGTATATGCTGCGTCCCTGGCAGCAGCTAAGTCCTGAGCAGACGTGAAGGCGAGCGTGGCTCGCGTGTATATGTTGCGTCTCTGGCAGCGGCTAAGTCCTAAGCAGACGTAAAGGCGAGCGTGGCTCGCGTGGATATGCTGCGGCTCTGGCAGCGGCTAAGTCCTAAGCGGACGTAAAGGCGAGCTTGGCTCGCGGGTATATGCTACGTCCCTGGCAGCGGCTAAGTCCTAAGCGGACGTAAAGGCTCGCGTGGCTCGCGTGTATATGCTGCGTCTCTGGCAGCGGCTAAGTCCTAAGCGGACGTAAAGGCGAGCGTGGATATGCTGCGCCTCTGGCAGCGGCTAAGTCCTAAGCGGACGTAAAGGCGAGCGTGGCTCGCGTGTATATGTTGCGTCCCTGGCAGCAGAGTTACTGAGTACAACGACGACTCGCGCGGAGTCGTGAGCTCGACCGTAATAAGTTCTGTCGGCGTTAATACCCGGTATGTGCAACACGGGAGAAGTCGCGAAGAGAGACGTCCACCGCGGTGGAAGCGTCAAGGTAATCCGAAGCGGTCGCGCGAAGCCTTCTCTCAATCCTCGATCGTAGTGAGAAAGTGGAAATCCGTGAAGTTACTATACACTCCGTAACTCAAACGCCAACGTGTCCTCGGACACTCTAGAGTCGATAGCCCAACGTGCAAGCGCACTCTCAAGGGCTGCGGAAGGTTGCGTAGAATCACCGAAGACAACCTGTACACAAAACGCCAACGTGTCTACGACACTCTTAAGGCGACAGATGTAAATGTAGAGATGCAAAGTATACCTTGAAGGAAGTAAAATGCCCAACGTGCTGGCGCACTCAAGAAGGTGGTACGATGCTAGATAGAGTGCAAAAGAATACCTTAGCGAGGCAGTAACCTGATGCGCTAACGCAGTCAGAAGGCTTAGAGTCGTCGCCAGCGGCGTCTTATATGGGCGCCGCATCGAAATTTAACTGCGAGCGACGGCCTCGGCTCGGCGCGATGCCGCGTAGCGGCGACGGCGTGAAGCCGCGGCGAGCGGCAGTCGCCCGCGAGCGGAACGCGCCTGGCACACGACCGCCCGCCATCCGTGCGGACGACAGCTCCCGTATGGAACAAAGCTTGTCCAAGCCTTTCCTCAAAGTTGACATTACTGCGGGTAAAATTAGGGATTGATGGCCAACTTGAAGCAGGACCAGACAGCCATGCAGGTCCGTTCCACCAGGGAATGTTGTGTCAGTTGATCAGCTCTTAAACCTTTTGAAGCACAGTCGGCTGGATTCTCTTTGTCTGAAACAAATCTCCACGATTGGGCCGATGACAGCTCTTGAATTAAAGTTACTCGATTTCTGACGAAATCTTTCCATCGAGAAGGGTGTAACGATATCCACATCAGAGTGACCGACGAATCAGTCCACAGAAATACAGGAATTTCCGAGAATTCCAATGCACGCTTCACGTGGGTCATCAGCCGGACGAGTAAAAGAGCAGCCGTTAGCTCCAGCCGTGGGATAGTAAGCCGTTTCAACGGAGCTACTTTTGTCTTAGCACAGACGAGCTGCGTGGTGGTCAGACTTTCGGACGAAGTAACTCTAAGGTAGACTGCCGCTGCCATTGCCAAGTTGGAAGCATCCGAGAAACCGTGAAGTTCGACCGAAATCACGGTCCTTGAATATTTCAGCCAGCGTAGGATGGATAGTTGGCAAAGATTTAGAAGCTGCTATCGGAAGGATCTCCAACGGGTGTGCATTTCCGGAGAGAGAGGCTCGTCCCAACTCATCTTTGCCAACCATAATTCCTGCAAAAATATCTTGGCGCGCACGGTGATCGGTGATAAGAGGCCCAACGGATCAAAAAGTTGTGCGATCTCGGAAAGTATTCTGCGTTTGGATGCATTGTCGCAAACAGTGAATTGCGAGTTAAATTTAAAGACATCTATAGTTGGTTGCCAGTAGAGCCCTAATATTTTAACAAGAAATGATTCAAATTCTATAGCTGTGATATTATCGAAAGGAACATCTATTTTCTTTAGGAAGTCTTTGCTGTTGGAGCTCTATTTCTGTAATGGAAAACCACCCGCCGTGCAAATCTGAGAAAGCTGCATTGCAATTTCTGACGTCTCAGTGATTGTATCTGCGCCGCCGAAGATGTCCATATATCAGCTTTTTGTCAGGGAGGGAATCGCTCGAGGAAATTTGTGGCCTTCGTCTATCACTAGTTGCACTAAAGTTCTGAGTGCCAGAAAAGGAGCGCTCGTCAAACCATAAGTCACTGTCGTCAGTTGATAATAGAGAAGCTCTTGTTCGGGTCCTCGCCATAATATACGCTGAAAATTCTGGTCATCAGTATGTATTCGAATTTGTCGATACATCTTGACAATGTCGGTCAAAAGACGTATCGGTGCAAACGAATCCACAAGACATCGGAAATTTCCATTTGCAAATTGGGGCCAGGAAGAAGGATGTCATTGAGAGAGTTACCAGAGCTAGATTTACTAGAGCCGTTAAAAACTACGCGCAGCTTTGTGATACAACTTTGTTCTCTTAATACTCCATGATGAGGCAGGTAAAAAACAGGCGAAGAGTTGATCTTGGATTCTGGAACTGGAATCATGTGCCCTAAAGATTTATATTCTGAAACGAAATCTGAATATCGCTGTCTGAAGGTGAGGTCGGTCTCAAATCGCTTAAATAGCCGATTTAAGGATCGTAAAGCTACAATGGAGGAGTCACCCAGTGTATCGGCAGACTTCTTGAAAGGTAAATGGACTATATATCGCCCAGAATTGTCACGTGAATGTGATTTAACGAAATGGGCTTCGCAACGCTCTTCGTCTGGCGAGAGGGCAATGCTTGTGGTATTAGTTGTTTCTTCCTGCTTCCAAAATCTTTGAAGAAGATTTATTAATTCTTCGTCCTTGGTGCAATGAAAACTACAGAATGACTTATTTTCTGCAATAGAGGAGACAGGTCTTGAGACAGTCCATCCAAATATGCTTGCTTGAGCTATCGGAGATCCTGGTTGGCCTTTGATAAGCTCAGATTGAATTATTTGACCGTAGAAATCAGCTCCAATAATAATTTTAATAGGTCCAGGTCGTAAAAAATCGGGATCCGCCAGCTGCAGACCTTGTAGATGCTGCCATTCCTTACGCTCCGTTTCAAAGGATGGTATTCGTGCTGTTAAACGTGGTAAAACAAAGGCTGAGATAATACATGAGGAAGGCGCCTCGAATCTTAACCGGAGACAAATTGAGCAGACGCCCCGTGTTCGGCCAGCATAAACGTTACCGATACCTAGAAGTGATATCGTAGCTTTGCTTTGTGGTAAATTGAGGCGAGTAACGAGATCTTCGGCGACGAATGAAAGCTCTGATCCCTGATCCAACAAAATTCGCACCGGATATGAATCCCCATCCCTTGTGGAAATCATAGCTTGACAGGTGGCGAGCAAAACTGGCATTCGAGTTTCTATTTCCTGCTCCACATGGTGAATGAGCGACTTTAATTGTCATTCAGTTGTAACAGTAGTCGGATTAACATTTTCACGACGGATGGAGCGGACAGAAAAGTCAGCTGGCTCAGAGTGTCACCCAGAAGTCGTGCCTGCTGGCGTTCCTGGGAGGTACTTGTCAATGAATGCGGTTAGGACGCCCGGTGGAGTTTTAGTGGGTAGGACGCAGTCGATCTATGGTTGACTGCGGGAGTCCCACATAACCCGGCCAACCACATTTGGGTTAGGCCGGGTATGCGTAAATGCATTTCTCCACCGAAAAAAAAAAAAAAAAAAAAAAAACATTTTCATG